TAGATCGAATATTTACGTCAAATTCACAATGTGAATCTTTGAAAATTCACAATGTAAATCCGGATTCACACGGTGAATTCGAAAAATATTTTTCTCATTCACAATGTTAATATATGAATTTAGATATTTTTAGATTTTTTTTTGGATAAAGAATAAACTCTAGAAATTGAAAAAAAGATTTGGTTCCTTGAAAAACCAATAATTATGGTTCTCTATTGAACTTTTCCATATATATATATATATATATATATATATATATATATATATATATATATATATATATATATATATAGGGAAAAGTGAATATGTGGCTGTCATGTATGTAATATTAGGTATAGAACCATCAAATTTGACTTCATTTTGATTAAAAATCACATTTTTTTCATTGTTAGCTTCTTCCTATTGCTTTTAAGCTCATATAAATTATTGATTTCATAATTTATCCCCAACATCTATCTATTTCGAATGTGTTGTTTATATTAGACCTCCAGTAGGCTTCATAACTTTCTTTGACACCTACCATATGTATACTTGCATGATTCTTTTTTGATGTGTTATGGGAAGAAGTTTATTGGGTTTTTAATGAACAATTTCAATCTTTCACTATAGTTTTCTATATTAAATTTGAATATGAAGACTTATCGGTAGTTGATAATGTATTCTTATACATGCTTTGTGGTGCAAAATTAAATATTTAAAACTTCATAAAAACATGTACAAAGCCTATCATCTAGTCTAATAGAGGATATAAGAAAGATGGTAGAGAGATTTGATTGCATTTTGTTAAATCAACGTAGTTTTTGATGGTTCTATACCTAATATTAGATACATAACAGCCACATATTCCCTAAGCCCATATATATATATATATATATATATATATATATATATATATTATATATATATATATATAGGGCTAGGTTATAATGTGGATGAACAACTATTGTGTGGACGTGTGGATAATGTTATTTTATGAAAATTACTAAGAAAATATGTTGTTTAGTAATGTAAATACGTTCAATCTCACAGAACTATTGTTATTTTAATAGATTCTCACTAATTCTAATTCATTTTTTTTCTCATTCATCGTTTTTTATTTATTTTAATTTCTACAGAATACGACTCAATAAACATCCTGATAACATTCTGACAGAACAAGAATAATTAAAAAATGTCTATAATAACCTTATAAACAATTTAATTAGTGAAAATGCGTAATAATTACAATAATTATATAAGATTGAACGTATTCATATTATCAAACAACATATTTTCTTTGTCATTCTCACAGAATAGCATTATCCACACAATAGATGAACCATCTGGCTACATCGCTTTCTTTTTTATTTCCCTTTAACACCTTTCAATGTGTCAACATTGTGTTTCTCACCTCCTAGTCTACAATCAAACCCTGCTTTTTCAGCATATTTCATATACATATCAACTCCCAAATCCAAAGAATCAAATTTAAATGTAGAACATGCTCAAATAATTTTTCGACTTTGGGAATCCAAAAAACTATATTTGTGTCACCAGGAGATCTCACTTCAACGCGGGAAAGATGATCTAAGAATATAAATAATAAATATATTAATATAAAAGTATAAAAAATTTAAATAATATTTGAATAATTTTTTGTTAATGACCTTCCAATTCAGTTGTTGCTACAATATTTTGATTACAATGCTGAGGTTGAATAAAAAAAACGATCACCAGAATCAATTTCTTCTATAGAATAACATAAATTGTTGCTGAATTATGCTCATCTTGTTCTATGTCTTGAACAAATAAAGAATCACCAAGATTAACTCCATTTGATGGGTTAAAAAAGTTATTTGTTGTGCTATTCTCATCCTCTTCATTGGAATAAGAAAAGAAACCATTCCCAGCAGAAGAATGATCTATATAACATTAAAATAAGAAAAAAAACATCAATAATATACATAAAATATGCATATCTGCATGAAAAAAAAAACTTCATGTATGCAAAAATGAAATTACATGTCAGCTACTGAAATTTCAAATCAACAGCCATCATCATATACGTGCACATATATGAAAATAACAAATCCGCAATCATCACTACTCTATACTATGGAAATAATATTGATCACTGCTTATTGATCAAGGTCAATTAGCGGTTATCAACATTACTATACATCATTATTTATTTTTATACGCAGATTGTATAATTATTTTATTTTTTCAACTACAATACCTTAAATCCGCAATCAGTTTACAATTCTGAATTTGTCAACCATTCCGAAAACATTTTATAATGGAAAATTGTTGATCATCATTTAATTATAAGCAGTAGTCTATACTGTATAAAATAGTATTAATGATATCTTATTGATTAAGGTCAATCAGTTGTTATCAACATTACTACACATCATTATTTCTTTTTACACGCAAATTGTATAATTATTTAATTTTTTCAACTACAAGACCTTACATCCGCAATCAGTTTACAATTCTGAATTTGTCAAGGATTCTGAAAACATTTTATAATGGAAAACTGTTGATTATCATTTAATTATAAGCAGTAGTCTATACTGTACAAAATAGTATCAATCACAGCTTATTGATTAAGGTCAATCAGCGGTTATCAATATTACTACACATCATCATTTATTTCGATACGCATTTTGTATAATTATCTAATCTTTTCAAGTCTTAAAACTTCCATCCGCAATCAATTTAAAATTATGACTTTATCAAACCTTCTGAAAACATATTACAATGCAGAACTTATGATTATAACTTAATTATAAGCAATACTCTATACTGTGCAAAATAGTATTGATTAAGGTCAATCAGCAGTTATCAATATTACTAAATATCATCATTTATTTCTATCCGCATTTTGTATAATTATTTAATCTTTTCAAGTCTAAAAATAATTTACAATGGAAAAGTGTTAATTATCATTGAAAGGAATAACATCTATAATCAATTTTTGTAACAAACACATAGTAAATCAAACAAACAATAGCATATAGAATAAATTTTTAGATGCAATAATACCTTCATTATTAGGATTTCCAGAAACAGAAAAGCTGGATTCCATTGATGAGCTGTTGAAAAATTCAAAAACAATGAAAATTGAATCAAATCAATGAAAAAATCAAAGCTAAACCCTAAAAAAAAAAAAAAAAAAACAATGCAGTTTTGAAAGTTCAATAAAATAATGAATAAAGGTTTTGAACAGAAAACAAAGTTCGAAAAGAATAACAATAAATACAATCGCTAGAACCATAAACCATAAACCCTAAAAAAACCCTAGCCTAGAACACGGTCATAGTAATGAATCGTAAAAATTAGTAAAGTCAATATATAATAATAAATCGAAAGATAACGATTAAATATCAATGTAGATAATTAGAAAATGAAAAGAACAAGATTCTAAGAAGAAAATAGATTTATCAAATGGATCGATGAATAAATAAACTAACCTAGAACGCGATCGGAGTACTAAATCGCAAAATCAATAACAAAAACCTTCAATAAGAAATCAAAAGATAACGATTCAAGATCAATGAATATAATTCGAAAAATAAAAGAAGAAAATTCTAAGAAGAAAATCGATAAATCGAATGGATCGATGAATCGCTCAATGAATTTCGGAAAGTACGATGAACATGGACAAAAAGAATACTATAACATAAATCTTTCCGAATGGATAAATGAATTAAAAATAAACAAAATGTTTTTTCAATTAAAAATGATAAAAAAAAAAAGACAATCCTAACCTTGATTAAGAAAAAATAAAGATAAAATAATCCAACGGTCGTAATTTAGTTCTCAAGTTATCGTAAATCTTTTGATTCTCAAAAGAACTTTGTTCTCTCTCTCTCTCTCTCTCTCTCTCTATATATATATATATATATATATATATATAGGAAGGTTTCCCCGCATGTTGCATGGGATGGAAGGTGTTGTTTTTCCATTGATACTCATGTGTCGTAGCATGCTACTTTCATTTATTTTCCTATAAAAGCACTATACTTTAAAAAATTAACTAACACACGGGACGAAAAGTGTTACCAAATGTGATTTTAGGGGCAAAATGGGCATGTTACATGAACTTAACACCACATGGAATAAAATATGAACAAATGTCATTTCAAGGCAAAATGATTATTTTTACATGATCTTAACACTTATTGTCAATCTGATTTCAATCTTATTTACTCTTTTTTAGCTTTTCATTTTGCGATTTCCTCCATTTTATCCACCTACAAACAAACTTTCTCTAATTAAATTATGTGGAAATTTAGAAATATTCTTTTCTTCAATAAAAAGTTTATTTAAACACAAATTACAGTATAGTAAAAAGTCAAAAACCAAAAGATTAATTAAAATAATTCAAAAATTTTTATACCATTTGCCCCCATTGTTGACATAGAAGATTCTAAAAATAGTTAGATACATAAATCCATGTCAATAGAACACAATTGATTGTTCAATATTTGAGAAAAACATATCTAGCAAATTAGTTCTTGTACAGGAGGATCATAGGTAGACAATTAACTGAACATTTGACTACATAATAAAGCAAATTCATTGAAAAAAAGCCTTAAAGTAGTTTAGAACTCAATTTAATTACAATAACATTGCTACTAAATTTATAGAGCTATCAAATTTAATTTATATATGTTTGACATAATATTTAACCATTATATGAAGACTGTTTTGTGATAAAGAAAAACCACATCAAAATTAAAAATAAAAAAAGTACACGTGCATCCTGGAAAAATTAACTCCAATTCACCACATCAAAATTAAAAATAGGAAAAGTACACGTGCATCCTGGAAAAATTAACTCCAATTCACCAGACAGACAATAAACTAATTTTAAAATTTTGAATTTGTTTTTATAACATATAATTTAAATCTATTATAAGATAAATACATAAATTTCTTGAATAAATTGAAAACATACCTCAACAAAGAAAACTAAGAAGGATTGTAGGCCACCAAATTTCAATATCAATTAATGTAACACCGTGAATTTTCAAACAAATTTTTCATTTTAAAATCGCATATATTTCATCAACACATCACAAAATCCCCAAAATGTCAAATTATCAAAAACACATGTTCATAGTTATTTGAATAAAATCCAGGATCTTCAGAAACATATCCCCATCATGTGTGTACAATCAAGCCGTCGCCTTCCCGTGATCCTGAGAAGTACCTGAAACACATAACACATAACACGGTAAGCACGAAGCTTAGTGAGTCCCCAAAATACCACACACATCCCATTAGCCTCTCATGGTTATATCTCGAATAAGACCCTCCGGTCAATGTGTCTCAGTGGAACCTTCTGGTTCCACAACTCGGGTGGACCCTCTGGTCCTATCCCAACAATGCACAGGATAATATACGGCATAAATCACAAAACATAATACATGATATCACATATCTCAGTATAAGCACATACGATCAACATATACACAGATTACCATAACAGCATAAGTCACAAAGACAATGTGCACGATAACATATATCACATTATAAACAAATAAGACCCTCCGGTCAATAATGTACTAAGACCCTCCGGTCTACAATGTACTGAGACCCTCCGGTCAATAATGTACTAAGACCCTTCGGTCAATAGTGTAAATAAGACCCTCCGGTCAATAACAAGAATAAGACCCTCCGGTCACACAAAAATTACCACACAGGTAAGTATAGTGAGAAGACTCACCTCGGATGGCGGATCGATCCTATAAATGTTGTTGTTGTACCCCGGCCTCTCAACACTGAGCCAAACCCACAATTAACCCCATTAGGATCTAAGACCAAACTTTCACATATTAGGTCTAAATATGGTCCACCAACCCTGCCCATAAATAACCCAAGCCCATTGGGCCCACCAAGGCCCAATACCAAATGGGCCCATAGAAGCCCACTAATGGCCCAACTATGGCCCAATTTTCCAAATTTGGCCCAAACCCTCATTTGGGCCTTACCCCCAAAGCCCATCTACATATTCTAGTCCACATGATTATTCTTGGATGGCCCATCAATAGCCCAATCATCAAAGTCCAAAAGAAAGGCCTAACTCAGGCCCAAGCAAAATTAGGGTTTTCACATGAAATGACGATTAGGGTTAAGTATTCTCACTTAACCCATTAAGGACTTAACCCATTAAGTCCACATGATTATTCTTGGATGGCCCATCAATAGCCCAATCATCAAAGTCCAAAAGAAAGGCCTAACTCAGGCCCAAGCAAAATTAGGGTTTTCACATGAAATGACGATTAAGGTTAAGTATTCTCACTTAACCCATTAAGGACTTAACCCATTAAGTCCATTATTCTACTAAACCATCATACAATGGAATCGGCATGAGTCATAACTTCAGCCCACTAGTCCAAACCAGCAAACCCAAAATTAGGGTTTTCTAAACCCTAATTAGGGTTTCTAGCCCAATTTTCCATCCAACTAGTCCAAATCAAGCATTTGGGCCGATTAGGGTTCACTATACCAAGCACCACCCATTACCACCTCAGGTAGTGGTGGTCAGTGGCTGCTCACGACGGCGGCCACCACCTCACGATGGTGGTGGTAGTTTTTCCCCTAATCCCTCCACCAAAAATGCTAACACAAGTCCCATTCCACACATAGTCATAATCATCACAACAAATACACACAGCCACCACCATATGGCGGCTGGTGGTGGTGATGCGGCGGCAGGAAGCGACAGCCACCATGGTTGGCAGCCATGGTGGGTTTTTCATGCCAAACTTACCTGTATAATCCTCTTGAACACATAAATCAACAAGTACTCGAATATGCATCCATACAGTCGCCGCCTAGGCGGCAGGAGTTGTCGGAAAAACGCACACAGCAGCCCCACGGCCACCGGTGTCGGCCATGACGCTTCCGGCGTCGTACCCACAGAGAGAGAGAGAGAGAGAGAGAGAGAGAGAGAGAGAGAGAGAAAAGGTGGGTTGCGGTGACTTACCGATGGCTCCCCAGTCGTTCTCAGCCCCCGCATGACGATCCAGCTTCAACTTGATCTCAGCGACCCTTCCAGCCGCCCATGACGTCTTCGCCCGGCAACGGTGTTGTGGCGGCGTTACAATGGCAAGGTAGCCGTTTGGAGGCCTCATTTGATCGGAAAAGCGAACAGGAAGGAGGTGGCGGCTGTGAGGTTCTCATGAGGGTGGCGGATGTAGTATATGCTTCTAGGTTTAGGGTTAGAGGACGAGGAAGGAGTGTCGGGTATAACCCGTGCTTCACTTTCAAACCTTCAAGCTTTTTTACAAGTTCAGTCCCTCCTCACTAGATTTCCTTCAACTTTAATCCATCATTTACACTTTTGCCCCTAATTCCATAATTTCATTTCATAATAAGCCCAAAATTACCATGCAGCCCCTTTTCTATAAATTATTTTCAATTGCAGCCCCCGCCTTCATAAATATTCACAAAACCAATTCAGAAATTACGCTTTTAACCCCCAATTTCTAAAATTATGACGATTAACTCCTCGAAACCAACACCTTGCTAAATTATTAATGATTTTATGGTTTCTGCTCATATTAACCCATATATATTTATTTATTTAATATACGGGATGTTACAATTAAGTACATTGTTATCATTCATATCCCTCCATATCCACCATCTGATTTTTGAACAAAATATGATATAAACATCAACATATAAACTTTAAAATTGCTAGAATTAGAAAAATGTTTCCTTTTCATGAGAGTCTTCATCTATTTTAAACTATTGAGGTTTAAAAAAACATACCTGAATAATTTATGTGAAACCATCATTTTGCCTCCTGCAGTTGCAGGTTCCTGCATGCATAAACATGTATGGAAAAAAGTGTAAATTAAGCCAAAGCATTATAGAAATTATACATTTTTTATGTTTAATTATGTTGCATGGGTAAGCAAAAGTGGTAATATGATACTTATTGTTATAATTGGGCATATTTTGAAATTAGAATGCCTTAATAAGAAAACAAAATGGAAAATATATACATGTAGGATGCAATAACAGATAAACAAATAGAAGTATACTGTTATTTTTTACATTTACTCATTTAAATTAAGTTTTAATATTGAAAAAATGAATTCCAGTAAACTAAAACATAAGAAAAAAGCAATCATTTCTTAAAAAGAGAAGGCGGGCAGTTCATACATATCGGTCTTTCTTCACATTGTTACTATTGCCACATCAGTTATCCCTCTAATTGACAGCAAAGTTTATGATTGGCTTCAATTCCTGAAACAAATAGAACATTTCAGAACTGTTAGTCAAAGTCAACCTACGTGAACCAACACATCAATAGCAAATGAAACATCCCAATATAACTATTTAAAATTTTAAATAGCCTAAAATTTTATTTATAATAACAATAGAAGCTATACCAACATTAAGTATCCAAATTCAATTTCTAAGATTAGTTGCTTCTAATCCAAACATCGCTTTCTGTAACAATATAAAAGTTTATGTAGCAAATAGCAATGAAAATAAAACATAGTTCCAAGCTTGCAATTCTTATAGTCAAAACATTTGCAATGGTAGGCCCCGCCAGTCAGCCCCAAATCAGTAAATTTTTACCATAAGAGAATAAACAAAATTTGTATATGTCAATTCCCAAGTCCCCATTCCATTGTTGAGCATCTACATGAAAAGTCCATCAGTTAATATGCACAGGTAAATCAAAATTTGTCTCTAAAAAACAATGTGAAAAGGAACCACTGACAAGCCGGGGAAAATCAGGAAAAAGTAAAAATAAAATTAATTAAAAAATAAAAAATAGAATTAAATTAAGAGTCTATTACTTTTTTTAAAGTCGCCACACATGTGAATGTTTAACGACATCTCATGGCAGCCAATTTTGGGCCCGTACTAGAAACTAAAAAAAACTGTATAAACAGGTACTTAGAAGGGGTTCAGGAAATCCATCTAGGACTGGTTCTTCTCGAACTTCTTATGAAATTCTTTATGCCGAATATATGGAATTCATGGGGAGAGAAATTGCCCTCTCAAAATGAAAGAAAATATATTTAAAACTGTATCTAACCCATCTTGTAAGAAACTTCTTTGGACAATTCATCTCCATAGTAATAATAACATCTTGTAGATGGTAATAAACTCTAGGATAGAAGGATAGATGGTTTACCCTAAATAACTTTCATGAAAAACCTCAGACTTCTTTCTTCAAATTTCTTCCTCTGTTATTATAACAACAAATCAAAAAAAAAAATTAATCAAAAGAAAAGTAAATAAGTAAGACTTAGTTGAGATGCATACATAAAGGTTACTTGCTTCTGATTTTGATGCTTAGATGGGGTTCAGGTTACCTGTGAACTTCATCAACATTGAATTTCATCTAATCATCAATAAACAACTAACAGAAATACTTACACAATCACAAAACCGATGATTGTTCTTGATTTAGTATCTTTCTTCCGCCTGACCTGTGGCTCTCCATTCAATGTTAAATACTTAACCTCAAATGTATTGGTTGTTACTGAAAAAAAAAATAATAAGAGAGCATAAAATATTAGAACAACGTCAAATTGAAACATTTGTTAAATCTTGTAAGAAGATCAAGCCATAATCCAGCAAAAGAAAAAGCCCTAACCTTCAGCTTCGATTCGAGGTCGGCAATCGGTTTCAGAATCTGATAGGAAGCGAAAATCGAAGAGAAAACTTTGACAACAGGTTTGCATAAACTAAGAAAATTAAGCTAACACTCGAAATCACATCATAAACCCAAAACTAAACCCTAACTTATGAAATTGAGAAAGCCAAAGACGAAAGAAGGGGCATCGGTACGTGGTTGATTAAACGTTTCATGAACCCAATATCGGGCGCTAAGATTTGGTTGTTTATCGATAGCTTCTGGATGGGATTGTGACGGAAGGCCTTCACAACGGGCAGTTGAGAGAGGAGACGGAGACGAAGGGGTTGTGAAGACATTGAACAGGGTCGTCAGCGTTAGAAGGAGAGAGGAGAAGGCATGACATGTTTTGAAGGTAGCGGTTCTATGCCCATCGGAATGAATTTGTGGTAGAAAAGTGGAAACGCGCTTACGAAACACGTAAAAATATGCAAAACCGGAAGAGCATGGGCAAATAACACGTGTCTTAGACACCCACCCCACCATTGACCAACGGGTTCGAGAGCACGCCACCAAAATGTAAATGACAGAATTAGAGAGACTAAGGTGTTCTTTGTTTTTTTTGAGGCAAAATGTATGTAGTCTACGGATCATATCTGTAGACCTCTGCAGTAAAAGAGGTGGACCAAACGTCTGCAGTCTGAAAAACAAGACTGTTTGCTTTTTTTTAACATCTGCGGGCTACTAAAATAAACTGAAATCTAAATAAACTGATTTTTTTAAACTTCAAAGTGGTTTTTTAATATTTTTATAACTTTGTTATAAATAATTAACGAATATAAATCAACTTTTATCTATTATTGTATAAAAATAAAAATAAAAATAAAAATGGTATAAATTAACGTATATATTTGATAAAAACCGACAACTTTGGTTGCAAAGTTATAACTAAACATTATAATTAGTGATCAAAGAATTTGATACATAAATAGATGGAAATAAACTTCGATTTTTTCAATTAAATCCATTAAAAACAAACCATAAATATTTTCTCGAAAAATCGACGATACTGTATTAAATAATGTTTTATAAAATTTGGCAAAAAAATATAAGAATATATTATGATTTTTTTTTCATATTTATATAAACAACTTCAACCACTATTATTGTAATAAATCTTTATTTATAAATTTGTCAAAAATATCATGTTTGGTATCGTCGAACGTTTTTTTTTAAGTTTGTAATTTTTTTTTTCAAATTGTTTATCATTAATAAAGTTGGAAAAAATATAAATTAAAAAAAACTTTAAAAAAATAAAGATATATATGTTTTTTTAGGCTAGAAGATGTCTGAAGATGTTAGAAGACTCTGGTCCACATCTGCGCCAAGAAGAGGGCGCGCAGACATTTTTAGGTCTGCAGTCTTCAAAAAAACAAACAGTCTGCGAAGGCTAATGTCTGCGTGTGGTCTGCGCGGCGCAGACAGAAGAGGCCACGCAGATCTGTAGACAAAAAACAAACACTACCTAAGGCTTGAGGGAGTGGCCTCGCCACCCCTCTCGCCAAAAGATTCGCTATGAGATGCTATACCATCCCCAAAAGCTCGCTAAAGGACGCGCCAGGAAGAACTCGTTAAGAAGCTAGCGAGATGAGAGAGAATGAAGAGCTTAAATCTGATTGGTTATTTTCTTTTTCTGTTATTTTTTTCGTGATTCACCTTCGGTTCGTTGTTGCCTCCCTCGATCTCCTCTCCACAAATTTGAGTTATTCACTTGCTTTCCGGAAAAAAAGCGCAATTTCTAAGCTTGAAAATGGAAAATGGGAGACTGTCTCTGCAACTAGTTGCTGGGAGGAAGAAGATAGAAATCTGAATTTGATAGAAATAGACCTCCAAAAATCACATACTTACACATCACACCCCCTATCTTAATTCCTCTCACAAACCAAGTTTCTGAAATTACCAAAAGGACCCTGCACTTAAATTTTATACTTATTTGATTAATATTTGTGCATAAAAAATATTTGTGTATTAAAATAAAATAATTTAATTTTAAAAAAAATGGAGTGCTAGGGATGTTACCACTCCCTACTAAATGCTAAGATTAGATGCTAAATGGAGAAAAATGAGATGACACTCAAAAAGCTGAAGTGGCAAGATGTCAGGAGTGTTACCACTCCCCTTAGCCTAATTGTGGTAAGAACCTCAAATTTTGTGGCCAAATTCCAAAACCTCAAAAAGCTATTGTACTTAACTCAACCCAAATTTAATACTCCCTCCGTCCCAAATTTATTGTCCACAACAAAAAACAAAAAACACACAGATTAAAGAAAGCATTAATTGCCACTAACTTTATACAATAAAATAACAGTTTTATCATTACTTTGCATTTAATATTTCATTAAATGCTTAGTTGGTTAAGTAATAACGAGAGGGTATTTTGGTAAAAATGTTATTTATTTTTAGAAGTGGACTATTATTTTTGGACAAAACAAAAACGAAAGATGGACTATAATTTTGAGACGGATGGAGTATATATATATATATATATATATATATATATATATATATATATATATATATATATATATATACTAGAAAAGTTTGAGGCCCGTGCTAAGCACGACCCAAGGAGGGTACTTTGGGTATTCTTTTTTTTTACTGTTATCTAATGTATATTGTGTTGATAACAAAAAAAGTGAAAGTACAATACTATAAATGGATGGATTTTCAATGTACAATACATGAAAAAAAACATGGAAGTATGTTGCTATAATCAATAAATAAATGTAAGCCCATTGTGGTTACATAATATGATTTCACCTTATGGAAAACCTATCAACATCATTTGTAGTGGATATGGATATTAGGTGTTGAAGGCTTTTTCTGGTTGTTCCCTATTGATCTTTATTGGTATATCTACACTTGATTCGACATGGCCTAAAAAATTTAGCACAAATTTGAAGGATTTAAGACTTTAAAAGTTTTTTTTACATCCTACAAACCATCAGAACATACTTAGTGCAATAGAATAGCTAAATGATTTATTATTTAATTGAACAAAAGTGATTCGTTACATATATCTTGTTAACGGATGATGTTTTGTGAAGCAAAAATGAGGCATAAATCCTATCTTGAACTCATTTTTATGAGTTGTTATTGATAATTGTATATGACATTTGTTTAGACATAACTCCGATTTTATTAAAGGTTTACTTTGAACTATCAAGAGTATATGAAGACAACCCCGCCAAACAAAAATATTAGATAAAACACCAAGAATATATGGTTTTCTTTTAATCTAATTGCACACTTTTGGTGATCAGTATTTCCCAAAAAAAAAAAAAGCACATTGCTACTATTCAAATTTGTGAAACTTAATTGTAGCATGATCGTATTCTTTATAATGAAAGATTCATATGGAATGATTCATATGATAAGGCAAGGTCAAATAAGAAAAAAAAAACAAAAAATATAGTTACCTTGCAACATGTGATGTGTCATATTAACCTACAAATCAAGCAAAACAGTAGGTGTAAAAACAAAAAACATATAGCGTAACCCAGATTTCTAGCTATTTTCCTGTTCCTGGCAATTATTTTCATTTTTCTTCTTTATTTATTCCGATAAAAAAATGACTTTGGTGCATATTAAGCATCTGTTGACACAAATTCCTTTTCTTTAGTAGGTTTTGACGTGCCTTTATGTGGTCTTTTTAGTCTGAGCTACTTCATGAATAGAACTATTATTAGCAACATTTTTCACTTTATAAGAGATTCTAGTGGTAAAAACGCTCGCACCTCCCAAGAAATAACAAAATATATTTGTTCACTACTTCAAGTAAATGGCATGCTAAATTGCTAATCCAACCCATAACATGACACATCTCGATGTTAGAAACAATATATATATATATATATATATATACCGATCAAGATCAAACCAATAATAATATATTATATAACAGGAAATAAATAATATTATTATTTTTCCCTCTTAACCAAAATTAGCAAAATTTAAGAACTAACTTGACTAAAAAATGATATGTGAACATAAGGAAATTTGGAAACTTACAATTATGCAAAATTTAAGATACTATTAGCATAAAACTATGTCTTTAAGTTTCATCTGAATTTTTACAGGCAATGTTATACATGTATGAGTAGTTTGGATATCCATGTGCAATCCCAAGCAAAATGAAAAATCTCAAACCTGCTATATGAGGTTGATTGGTAGAACAACATCACATTATTACATCCTGTCGCATGAAGAATCTAATAACTACAAAATACAGATTTTTGGAAAGATACAAAATATAAGAGCGATCAGAAAAATGAACCTATTTATTTTCAGATGTTTTTGTGTGTGTTTATCTATGTTAATGTATATGAATTGCAGAAAATAGAATATTACCAGATGGGTTGATTCTCATATGTACTATAGTGCCATTTTCATAGCCACCTTCAATCTAAACAACATCATCCACAAAAAAAAGATATATTAGTAACAAATATGTATAACAACATTTTTTAAAATAATTAGAGTGCATTGAACGGAGGGAATAGGAGAGCATGTGGGTTTTACATTGCTACCATTGAATTTTTTCCCAGTAATTAATCTGCTATTAAATTATGGTCATCGAAAGCTACTTGTAAATCTATTTACACTTGTAGAAGGCAACATGATATTAAAGACCATTCAACAACACATGTAACTCTTCAAGTTGAGAAAGCAAATTCCAGATAATAAGTGGATAAAATCACATGATATTAAAGACATTTCTCATGCTTTTAGTCAACGATAACAAGTTTGTCAAGCCCTAAATAATATCAGATAAATAATGACTGGAAGCAAGAAATCATAGGGATAAAAAAGAGGAATTTAATGAAATTTCAAAATCAGAGACGACATCCACAGTGCAGTGCAGAAGACAACGAGGGAAATAAATTACCTATTTATCAACCCTAAAACCTCCGCCTTGCCTTCAGATCTAACATCGACCCGGTCAATTGAATAAAATCGAAAATAGATACAATGAACTTGTAGAGGCAGAATAAAAATAAACTTAAAGTCGATTAAAGTTAAAAGGAATCAGAAAAAAACGGTGGTTTTTTAGGGAATATCTTAAGGCGTGGGAATTTCTACATCGTCGCTATCAGGACAATCTCTGAAGATATCCAGAATCAAAATAAACATAGATGGGAAGGGAGCGACAACAAGACACATAAGAGAAGAGGGGAAGCCGTTCCTCGAGTTCATAGAAAACAAAACGTTTGGAAGCAACGTCTCTTAACGAGTTCATAGAAAACAAAACGTTTGGAAGCAACGTCTCTTAACAGGAGTGACGATCAGCATGCTGACAACCGATGCGAATCGACAATGTATCGTTTAGGAGATAGGTTACGTGGCGTAAAGAAAACCCTGTAATTATGGTCTAGGAGGCAGGAGATTAAAAGGGTTTTCTTATATAGTAATGATATATATATATATATATATATATTATTATATATATATATATATATATATATATATATAAAAACTACAAGGAG